GATGTATTAAGGATATTAAGCCTTTGTCAGATATATGACTTGCAAATATTTTTTCCCAGTTAGTGGGTTGTTTTTTTTGTTTCAATCCTGTTTTCATTTGCCTTGAAGAAGCTCTTTAATCTGATGAAGTCCCATTTGTTTATTCTTTCTATTGTTTCCCTTCTCTGAGAAGGCATGCTGTCCAAAAAGATCCTTTTAATACTGATGTCAAAGAGTGTACTGCCTACGTTTTCTTCCAGAAGCCTTATGGTTTCAGGTCTCACCTTTAGGTCTTTAATCCATTTTGAGTTTATTTTGGTGAATGGTGAAAAAGAATGGTCAATTTTCATTCTTTTACATGTGGCTTTCCAGTTTTCCCAGCACCATTTGTTGAAGAGACTTTCTTTTCTCTATTGTATGCCCTCAGCTCCTTTGTCAAAGATAAGCTGTCCATAGATGTGTGGTTTTATTTCTGGGCTTTCAATTCTGTCCCATTGATCTGTGCACCTGTTTTTGTACCAGTACCATGCTGTTTTGATTACTGTAGCTTTGTAGTATGTTTTGAAGTCAGGGATTGTGAGGCCTCCCGTTTTGTTCTTTTTTCTCAGGATTGCTTTAGCAATTCGGGGTCTTTTGTTGCCCCATATGAATTTTAGGATTCTTTGCTCTAATTCTGTAAAGAATGTTACTGGGATTCTGATTGGGATGGCGTTGAATCTGTAGATTGCTTTAGGTAGAATGGACATTTTAACTACGTTTATTCTTCCAATCCATGTACATGGAATGTCTTTCCATCTCCTTATGTCGTCATCCAATTCTCTCAGAAAGGCCTTGTAATTTTCATTATATAGGTCCTTCACCTCCTTAGATAAATTTACCCCAAGTTATTTTATTCTTTTTGTTACGATTGTGAATGGTATTGTATTCTTGAGTTCTTTTTCTGTTCGTTCATTACTGGAGTATAGAAATGCTGCTGATTTATGCAAATTGATTTTATACCCTGCAACTTTGCTGTAGTTGTTGATTACTTCTAACAGTTTTCCAATGGATTCTTTGGGGTTTTCTATATATAAGATCATGTTGTCTGCAAACAGCGAGAGTTTCACTTCTTCCCTCCCTATTTGGATTCCTTTTATTCCTTTTTCTTGCCTTATTGCTCTGGCCAGGACCTCCAGTACTATGTTAAATAAGAGTGGTGATAGAGGGCATCCTTGTCTTGTTCCTGCTTTCAGGGGGATCGGGTTCAGTTTTTGCCCATTGAGTATGATGTTGGCTATGGGTTTGTCGTATATGGCCTTTATTATGTTGAGGTAGTTTCCTTCTATGCCCATTTTGTTCAGAGTTTTTATCATAAATGGCTGTTGGATCTTGTCAAATGCCTTCTCTGCATCTATTGAGATGATCATATGTTTTTTATTCCTCAGTTTGTTGATGTGGTGTATCACGTTGATTGATTTGCGGATGTTGAACCATCCCTGTGTCCCTGGTATGAATCCCACCTGATCATGATGTATGATTCTTTTGATGAATTGCTGAATTCTGGTTGCCAAAATTTTGTTTAGAATCTTTGCATCTATGTTCATCAGCGATATTGGCCTGTAGTTCTCTTTTTTCGTGGTGTCCTTGTCAGGTTTTGGTATCAGCGTGATGTTGGCCTCATAGAATGTGTTAGGAATCGTTCCATCTTCCCTAATTTTTTGGAATAGCTTGAAAAGGATAGGTATTAAATCCTCTCTGAAAGTTTGGTAGAATTCCCCAGGAAAGCCATCTGGTCCTGGGGTTTTATTCTTTGGGATGTTTTTGATTGCTGTTTCAATCTCTTTCCTTGTGATTGGTCTGTTCAAATTGTCTGCCTCTTCTTGAGTGAGTTTTGGGAGATTGTAGGAGTCCAGGAATTCATCCATTTCCTCTAGGTTATCCATTCTGTTGGCATATAGTTTTTTGTAGTATTCTCATAATCCGTTGTATTTCTGCAGAGTCTGTTGTTATTTCTCCTTGCTCATTTCTGATTTTGTTTATTTGAGCTTTCTCCCTTTTTTTCTTTGTAAGTCTGGCTAGTGGTTTGTCACTTTTATTTATCTTCTCAAAAAACCAGCTCTTTGTCTCATTTATCCTTTCTACTGCCTTTTTCATTTCAATAGTATTTATTTCTGCTCTGATTTTTATTATTTCTCTCCTTCTGCTGACTTTGGGCTTCATTTGTTCTTTTTTCTCTAGTTCAGTCAAGTGTGCTTTAAGGTTGCATATTTGGGATTTTTCTTGTTTGTTAAGATGTGCCTGTATTGCGATGAATTTTCCTCTTAATACAGCTTTTGCTGTATCCCATATGAGTTGGTATGGCATGCTATCATTTTCATTTGTTTCCAGGTATGTTTTGAATTCTTTAATTTCTTCAATGATCCATTGCTTGTTCAGTAGTGTGTTGTTTAGTCTCCACATCTTTGTGCCTTTCTCAGCTTTTTTCTTGTAATTAATTTCTAGCCTTATAGCACTATGATCTGAGAAGATGCTTGTTATTATTTCAATTATTTTAAATTTGTAGAGGCTTGCCTTGTTTCCCAACATATGGTCTATCCTAGAGAATGTTCCATGTGCATTTGAGAAGAATGTGTATTCAGCTCCTTCAGGGTGGAGTGATCTATATATGTCTATTAAGTCCAATTGTTTTAGTTTTTCATTCATCTCCACTATATCCTTGTTGATTTTCTGTCTGGATGATCTGTCCGTTGATGTGAGTGGGGTGTTGAGGTCCCCTACTATTATTGTGTTGTTTTTAACATCTTCCTTTAGGTCTGTTAATAGTTGCTTTATGAATCTTGGTGCTCCTGTGTTGGGTGCATAGATATTTATAATCGTTATTTCTTCTTGATGAAGTGTCCCTTTGATCATTATATATTATCCCTCTGTGTCTCTCTTTACCTGTCTTATTTTGAAATCCACTTGGTCTGATATGAGAATTGCAACACCTGCCTTTTTTTTCCTTGCTATTTGCTTGAAGTATTGTCCTCCATCCCCTTCACCCTGAGTCTGTGTTTGTCCTTGGGGCTGAGGTGTGTTTCCTGGAGGCAACTAATTATTGGATCGTGTTCTTTAATCCATTTTGCCACTCTGTGTCTTTTTATTGGAGAGTTCAATCCGTTCACATTGAGAGTGATTATTGATGCATGTGGACTTAGTGCTGTCAATCTGTCGCTCATTATCTTGTTTTCCTGTGTGCTTTAGACTACCCATTTAATACTGCAATTTCTTATGCTGGGTTTCTTAGATTTTTCCTTATCTATGATTTGTGACTCTGTTCTGTACTTTATTTTAGTGTCTACCTTGAAGTTTGTATAATATAGTCTATTCTCTGGTGGTCTCTTACTTACTCGACCAATACTGATTTAGACCCTTTGCTCTTCCCCTCCTAAATAATTATTTTCAGTTTTTATTCCAACTCATCTTATTAATTTGTAGTTAGAGTGCTAAGATCGTCCTTGTTTTGGTAGTTTCCTTATTTTTACCCTAATGCTATAGTTGAATATTTGCTATCCTGTTCTGGTTCTATCCATTGGTCTCCCTAGTCTGTGGCTTGTGTCCCCTTTCTCCCTTTTTTCTTTTTTCAAGTATGAGAGCCTTCTTGAGGATTTCTTGTAATGGAGGGCTTTTGGTTACAAATTCCCTTAACTTTTGTTTGTCTGGAAAAGATTTAATTTCTCCCTCATATCTGAAGGAAATTCTTGCTGGCTAGAGTATTCTTGGCTGAAGGTTTTTATCCTTTAAAGCTTTGAATATATCACTCCATTCTCTCCTAGCTTGTAAGGTTTCTGTAGAGAAATCTGCTGACAGTCTGATAGGGGCTCCTTTATAGGTTATTCTCTTTTTTTTTCTTACTTCCCTGAGTATTCTTTCCTTATTATTCCTATTTGCCAACTTTACTATTATGTGCCTTGCAGTGGGTCTTTTTACATTGAAAAATCTAGGAGATCTAAAACCCTCCTCTACACACATTTCTCCGTTGATCCCTAGATTTGGGAATTTGTCTTCAATAATTTCGTTAAGCACACTTTCTGCTCCATTTTCCTTTTCCATATTCTTCCTCTGTCTGGCGCCATTCAGCCTGTCTGTCCTCGACTATGCTGATTTGTTGATCATTTTCCTTGTGACACTGGATTCCATATGAGCATTGATTGTTCTGAAACAAACATCTTTCAGGGAGTTTACTCTTGCTGTTCCCTCTGATGGACACAGATCTCCCAGATAAACTTTTTCCTCCTGCTTTCTCTTCCTTGAGGTCTCCCTTCAGATATTTGCTGCTCTACCTGAATATCTAGTAAAAAATAACACCCCCTTTCACTCTCTCCTTTATACCTGATTTTTTTCTTCATAGCACATGTTACCATCTGATAATTTATATACATATTTTTGTTTTGTTTGTTTTGTTTTGTTTTGTTTTTTTGAGGAAGAATTAGCTCTTAGCTAACATTTGCCACCAATCCTCGTCTCTTTTGTTGAGCAAGACTGGCCCTGAGCTGACATCCATGCCCATCTTCCTCCACTTTATAAATGGGATGCCACCACAGCATGGCTTGACAAGCAGTGCGTTGGTCCACACCTGGGATCCAAACTGGCAAACCCCTGGCCGCTGAAGCAGAACATGTCAACCATTGTGCCACTGGGCTGGCACCAATTTATATAATTTTTGTTTGCATATATGCTTTCTCCATTGTCAAACTGTTGAAATTATTGTTTCTCAGCACCCTGTGCTCTTTTCCTAGAAGTTGCTCAGCCTCCAATATGTGACAGAATTTCTCATTAAAAGTATAGAATACATGACCTCCTGGAAAAAACCCAAAGTGCAACAGGAATTTCTATTCAGAGACAGCACTGGGGGTCTCCCACAGGAGGCAAGTTCCATACAGAAATTATAGGTATTGACGTTTTGAATGCAAAATGTAAATTGTAGAATTTCAACTGTTTGCAATGACAATTTTGGAGAAAATTAGTCATGTTTTGTTTTCTTTTCTGGTAGTCACCTCCACCACATGGAATCAAGGAATGATACACCAATTTCAGAATTTCTTCTTCAGGGATTGTCAAAGGAACCAGAACTGCAGCCCCTCATATTTGGGTTTTTCCTTTCCATGTACCTGATCACTGTGTTTGGGAACCTGCTCATCATCCTGGCTGTCAGCCTAGACTCCCACCTCCACACACCCATGTACTTCTTCCTCTCCAACCTGTCATTTGTAGACATCTGTTTTACCTCTACAACCATCCCAAAGATGCTGCATAATATCCACATACAGAGCAAAGTCATAACCTATGAGGGCTGCATCACCCAGATAAACTTTTTCCTACTCTTTGCTGGATTGCACAAATTTCTCCTTGCTGTGATGGCTTATGACCGCTTTGTGGCCATCTGCCACCCTCTGCAGTACACAGTTGTCATGAAACCCTGGTACTCTGGAATGCTGGTTCTGGTATCTTGGATGATGAGTGCCTTGAATTCCTTGTTACAAAGCTTCATGGTGTTGTAGTTGTCCTTCTGTACAGACTTGGAAGTCACCCACTTGTTCTGTGAAATAAATCAGGTGGTCCAACTTGCCTGTTCTGACACCTTTCTTAATGACATGGTGATGCATTTTGCATCTGGGCTGTTCGGTGGTGTTTCCCCTACTGGGATTCTTTACTCAGACTCTAAGATAGTTTCCTCCATACAAGGAATCTCATCAGCTCAGGGAAAGTATAAAGCATTTTCCACCTGTGCATCTCACATCTCAGTTGTTTCTTTACTTTATTGTATGATCCTAGGAGTGTACCTCCGCTCTGCTGCTACCCACAGCTCATATTCAAGCACAGTAGCCTCAGTGATGTACACTGTTGTCACACCCATGCTGAACCCCTTTGTCTATAGCCTGAGAAACAAAGACATCAAGAGGGCTCTGAAAAGAATCATCGGCTTGTCATTTATATAAGGAATGATTATCATGTGGCTGAAGAAATTCCATGATTGCAGGACTCAAATCATCAGAGGTAGAAATTGCTATTCTTTGATCAGATTGTAGAAGTAGAGCTTCCTCCTTGTATTTATTTCCTGGAATTTCCATTTATTTGAATTCAACTTCAATTTAAGTAACTCACTTTATTAGGCTTCTACTCTGATATATAGACAGTTTTTCCCCTTGTCTATTCCCATGCATTCTAAAAGTTTTTCCAATCTTGAATCAGAAATATTTGAATTTTTTGTATCTTACATGGACAATTTAGATTTATTAAAATTAATTTCTTCTCAAATGACATATATCATGTAAAGTAATTTTTCCTAGTTTTTCTGAAGGAATAATCATGAGTTGTATTACTCTTAAGAAAAAAATATATATACTTGGTACCTAAATCCATTTATATAATTTTGTTTTAAGGGAAAGTATGAAACCACTGGTTTTCACTTTGTCATTCTTTTTTACAACATTACCTTAACTACCCTTCATGATAATGTTGACTTTAACAATGTTCCATTTGATCTCAGCCTATTGATGCTGATGCTATTGGCTAGCATTGCCTAAGGCTCTCACCTGGGCTCATATTACTTATGGAAAACCCCCACAGACATTTCCAAAACAGAGCCTATGCTATGGCTGGACTGGCCCTTGTGGTTCTTATAATAATTGCAAGATGCATCTCATTAATAAAAAACGGCGAACTTTAAAAAAATAAGATTTATTACTCACAGATCCTGGAGAGTACATGACATTCCCAAGGACCATGCAGGGATGTCTAAGGGCAAGATAGAAGCAGAGAGAGAGTGCATGTCAACTGGGGGCTCTGCCTCTGTTGGAGTACACAGGCAGGGTGGCTAGGCTTTTGCATGTTCACTCTTTACTAGGGGTTTTAAAACATAATAGTGGAGTCTCTTTAATAAATTGTGTTAGGAAAACTAGACAGCCACATGCAAAAGAATGAAAGTAGACCACTATCTTATACCTTACACAAAAATTAACTAAAAATGGATTAAAGACTTGAATGAAAAACATGAAACCATAAAATTCCTAGAATAAAACAAAAGAAGTTACCTACTTGACATCAGTCTTAGTGATATCTTTGTGGATCTGACTCCAAAGCAAGGGAAATAAAAGCACATATAAACCAATGGAACTACATCAAATTAAAAATTTCTGAAGAGCAAAAGAGGCCATCATCAAAATGAAAAGTCCACCTACTGAATGGGAGATATTTTCCAATCATATATCCAAAAAGAGGTAATATCCAAAATATATAAAGAATTCATATAACACAACAACAACAAAAATCTTAATTAAAAATGGGCAGAAAATCTGAACACACATTTTTCCAAGGAAGACATACAGATGGCCAACAGGCACATAAAAAGGTGTTCAAAATCATTCATTATCAGGGAAATGCAAATGAAAGCCACAATGAGATATAACCTAGCACTTGTTAGAATTACTATTATTAAAAAGATGAGAAATGATAAGTGTCGGTGAGAATGTGAAAAAAAGGAACACTCATACACTGTTGGTAGTAATGTAAATTTGTGCAACCACTATAGAAAACAGTATGGAAATTCCTCTACAAACTAAAAATATAAATACCAAATGATCCAGCTATCCCTCTTTTGAATTTTTACCCAAACAATACAAAAATATTGATTTGTAAAGATATATGACCCCTTATGTTCATTATAGAATTATTTACAATAGCTAATATGGAAACAACGTAAGCGTCCAGTGATGAAAGAATGGTTAAAGATGTGGCATATATATAGAATGCAATATTATTAAGCCACAAAAAAGAATAAAATCTTGCAATTTGCAACAACATGAATGGACCTTGAGGATATTATGCTAAGTGAAATGAGTCAAAGACAGATATATACCATATGATTCCACGCATATATGGAATCCAAAAAACCACAACAAATAAAAACAAAAGCAAATTCATAGATACAGAGAACAGATTGGTGGCTCCAAGAGGGGAAGTGATTGGGGGGTGGACAAAATGGGTAAAGGGGGTCTAATGTATGGTGATGAATAGTAACTAGACTTTTGGTGGTGATTACTTTGTAGTTTAAACAGATGAACTATAAAGTAGCAAATTTAAAATTTACATAACATTATATGCTAATTTTACTTAAAACAAACAAACAAAACAGAAGAGGGGAATTAGAGCATGGCGAGGGAAAAGCAGGGCCACTCATGTGTTCACATATCTGGGTTAAACAGGGCTTTTTTTTTTTTTTTCAGTGAGGAAGATTTACCCTGAGCTTAAATCTGTGGCCAATCTTCCTCTTTTTGATTGAGGAAGACTGGCCTGAGCTAACACCTGTGCCAATCTTCCTCTATTTCATCTGTGGGTCACCACCACAGCATGACTGCTGATGAGTGATGTATATCCACTCCTCGGACCTGAATCTGGGCCACTAAAGCAAAGCATGGCCAACTTACCTACTAGGCATGGGGCTGGCCCCCACCCAGGGCTTTTTAAAATGGGAACTCCATGGGTTGGGGTGGTCTGGATACATACCTAGTAGCTCTGTCATACTGCTGGCAACATATTTATTCAACAAGATTGTCTTTGAAATGGATGCCTCAGAAATCAAAAACTTAATTTCAGGGAATTACATTAAAATAAAACAGCTTACTGTGACATACTTACATTAAAGACTTGCTACTGTGTTTTATAAGTGTTCTCCTGGTTTTACTGCATTTTTTAACTCGGTGTCCAGAATGCCTGCCATAATCACTGGCAAAAATTGATTATCAAATGTACGTGTCTTAGTGGAATCTACATGAAACGATAAATTTAAATAAATAGATTGACCTAATATGATCTTAGCATTGGCAACCACCATAAATACAAGGAAGCAAAATTTCAAATCCACCATTTTATTACTATGCAAAATATTTCTTTTTCATGCCCTGCATGTATTCATTGAAGTACAGAAGATTGGTATCCACCAGTGAGGCAGTTTATTCATTGAGTTGAAGAATTTGTTAGTATATTTTATGTTGTAATACTGAATTATCTTTCTGTTTCTGCTTGAAAACTTATAATGCTCCCTACAAATATGACTTTTTCAATTGGTCTACAAAATAGTTCACCTTTTAAAATATTTGTCATTAGTACAAAAGGGACAATGAATGAGCAATGTCAATATCATCCATTTCATGTCTACTTAACGCTCAGGAATTTCTTCATTCTTATATCAGAGGTTGATTCACAAGAGAGCTTGATATCTTGATCAGTTGTGTGATTCAGGGTTACCAGTTCTGCAAACATTCACATCCTTCCAAACTCTCCTAATTACCTGGAAGGGAAACATAAGGTATTCATTTGTTAATGCAGTTAGAAGAAGAAAACTTGAATAAGAGAATGGCCATGAATGTTCTCTTCAAATATCAGATCGTATGCCAAAAATAAAAAGCAGCAGATTATAATTATAATTTGCCCTCAGTCTTTTCACTTTGATTATTGGTATCAGTTAGCTATTACTATATAACAAACCATCCTATGTCACATGGGATACCATAATACCTTTATTATCAAATCAAGTTATATGCTGGGAGTGGTTCTCATCTCTGCTGGGCTCCTCATGAGAGTGTAGTAAGCTG